AGTACTCGTCCTCCTCTAGACATTAGCTAGCATTTTATAGTATTCTCATGCGCTCATTGAGACAGTTCGTCTTGTCGAACGATTATGATATCCTATTAGGACAGGACGGACGCTTGACGAGCTCCAAGTGGGTATTGGTCAATGTAGGATTTTGACGTCCCAAGGGCTGACCGTAGGCGGGATTATATTTGATACCATATCATGATGCCCTGAGGGTAGACTGTGAGTCAAGTATGGTTATCTAGTGATGATTATACCATCCCGAGAGTAGGTTGTTGGTGGTGTAGCTACTTGTCTGTATTTGGGACTGACATGTGAGAGGTATGACTTAGGTCCCTAGGTATTGGTATTGTGGTGGCGATTGTTTTGGGTTTATATGACCTTGGTATGTGGTTCCATAGCATCTGAAAATATCCTATGGTATTTTTGCTTATCTTGTGAATGGTTCTGGTCTTGTATGACATGCAATCGGATTTTTACATACATGTTTTCAAAGTGAAAAATGATTTTCGTATAAAATGTATTATCCACTCACTAGGCTCCCCATCTCACTCTTTTATATTTTTCTCCCTCCCAGGATTGTAGACCGGTTTCATGTGGAGCACACTCTACGCTCTAGGTTGGCCATTGACGCATGATCATTAGCATATTTTGTAAAATCGTAGTGCACTTTGATACTATATTTTTTGTATTTGGATTTTGTAACTCTTGTTTTCAAAACATTTATTTTATGTTACTTCAATTAATTAACTTTTTGGACAAAATTACGCTTGAATTTAAAACAAATTGCAGCCCACCCAAGCCACCACCCCCACCCCCCTATCGTTGCCAGCCGCCAACCAAACCATCGTCGGTCGTCGCCAAAAGTCGCCTGGAGTAGCCTATCGTCACCGAGAGGCTTTGATATGGCCGTTTCTAGCCATATTGATGGCCGAAAACATCCATATCGGAGTAGATCTAGCCGTTAATGGCGGGATCTATTCCGGCCATAATAGATCCAGTCATTAACGGCCAAATCCATGACCGTTAATGGCCATATCTCATCCAAATATGGCCAATAAAGGCCATGGATCTGCCTATTAATGGTCAGATCCATCGATCTAGCTAAAAATAGCTAGAATAGATCTATCCATTTCGATAGGAGTGTTTTCGGCCATCAATATGGCCAAAAACAGTCATATCGGAGCCTCCTAGTGACGGTGGGCTACTCACGGCGACTCCAGGTGACTTCCGACGACTTTTGGTGACGAATGGTGGTGGCAGGCAGTGGCTTGGGGTGGTGGGAGTGATTTTGTTATAAATTCAAGTTTTATATAAGCGGTGGTGTTTTAGCTAAATCTAAAATGTTGGGAGTTAAAAAAATTATTCAAAAATTAATAATAAAAATAATATTATATTAATATTTAAAAAAGAGTAATTTAGTAATTTAAATAACATACCTACCAATTTATTCCTTCTAATCAAACATATTAATATAACATACCCACTAATTTATTCCAACTAACCAAACATATTTTCCTAAAGATTTTCTTATTCCTTCTAATCAAACATATTAATATAACATACCCACTAATTTATTCCAACTAACCAAACATATTTTCCTAAAGATTTTCTTATTCCTTCTAATCAAACATATTAATATAACATACCCACTAATTTATTCCAACTAACCAAACATATTTTCCTAAAGATTTTCTTATTCCTTCTAATCAAACATATTAATATAACATACCCACTAATTTATTCCAACTAACCAAACATATTTTCCTAAAGATTTTTAATAATCTTCAAGATAATCTAACTTTTCAGTGATCTAACATTTTTAATAATTCAATAATCCTTTAACTAAACATACCCTTAAAGTAATTGGTTCTATTAATATAATATTTCTTATAATACAACATTTAAGGGATAAAAACACACTGATAGATAATGCAAACATTTTCATGCCGTGGATGACGCACTGGAACATATTATTATAAAAGTATCTCAATCATGTATTTGTTTTTAAATTTAGTTTTGTTTTCATATGGGCTTTTTCTTTGGGTTGGCAGTAAAATATATTCTTTTAAATAATTTTTCTTCATATTTTGGTGTAATTTGTCTTATATGGATCATAATTTGATAGTTAATCATCAAGTGTGCCTGCAACATATTGATATTCGAGCTACCAACTCCGAAAAGACACCAGAGATACAGGCGACTTAGCCAGAACCTAATGCCACCAGTTTCATTAATTACTCACCCAATTAATTGTCACTAATCTCTAGTTTATCCACCGGATTCCGTTATTCCTGTGCTCTTCCTAGCGTATTTTTGTGGTTAGCTCTTATGAGCTTCAAATAACAATCTAACAATGTTTTAAAACCCAGTCCCGCCCAGTTGATTTAACCGGTTTAACTGAGATCCGGAATTTTTAAGAGACCAAGTTTATATTTTTCCTATTCAACTAAAACCCTAAAATTTGAGAGGATGATCAACAAACAATTAATGGTAAAAATGTTGGGGCTTTTGAAGAGAAAATGTCGATGAATGTAATGGTGGTGACAGAATTGATTTTCGGTTAGTAAATCGACTGAAAATCGAATAAAACTGACAACGACAACAACTGGCTTTTACCGACGATTGGTGAGGCTAACGGGGGTGGGGTGAGATGGGTTTTGGTCGGGAGGAAGAGGAGAGTAATTTTTAGGTGATGGGGAGGGTTTTTGAAGCCGGTGTCGATCAGATCTGGCCTACAATGTCAACGCTGGCGTCGGTAAGATCTGGTCAAAATTGAACCTATTTCGGCCAGATCTTAGGTATATTTTAAGGGGAATGGGCTCAATGGACGATTGAAATTGCATCTGGGGTGTCACCACTGTCAATCAGTCGCCGATCGATTCGTATTTGAGGTGTGTTTGCTAAATTTCAAACTTTTAGGGACTTAATGTAATTTTTTAGAGTATATTTACTGAATTTTAAAAGTTTTTGTTAATCGATTTGACCGTCGGTCAAACTGGTTAAACCAGTCAACTTGGGACTTGGAAACTTTGTCAGGTTTTACCGCGGGTTGGATTTTAAAACATTGCAATCTAGTTTAAGTTGGAGTTCATTGTTTGTTAGTTGTTACCAAACCAATCACTCAAAGACTAGTTTTTTTCTTTTTTAAAGTAATAAATACTTTGGCTCCGTTTGGTTCACATTTTTACGTTTTTGGGAAATTTTTTTTTAAAAAAGTTAAAAAAAAAAAAAGTTGAATTGGGTGGGTATTACGATGTAGGATTTATAAATTAATAAAATACCCCATATGTTTGTTTTTTACAAAACACCCTATAATAAAACATTATAAGTTAACAAAAACACCCCCAACCCACCCATCAAATACGGACAGCTGACCACCACCACCGGAGGATAGCCAGAGTCACCGTATTGACGCATGACCGACTGGATCTTGCCGGTCGTGCGCCGATATAGCCGGCAAAGGCCAGATCTACGGCTAGATCTAGCCATTGACGGCCAGATCTGGCTGCATTTGCTCGTCAACGACGGCCAAAGATACGGCCGTCGTTGATGGTCAACGACGACTATATGTTGGCCGTCGTTGACGTCTCGTTACGGCTAAAGATCTGGCCGTCAATGGCCAGATCTTTGGCCTTAGATCTAGCCTTTTTCGGCCAAATCCACCGTGGATCTGGTCGAAAAAGGCTAGATCGGCGCACTACCGGCAAGATCTAGCTGGTAGTGTGCCATCCTACCAGATTCCGATCAACTTTTGATAGTGGTGGCTGGAATCTGGTATAATGTGGGTTTAGAGGTGTTTTTACAATTTTGAAAAAAAATATTTAGGGGTATTTAATAAAATTAACAAATTTAGAGGTTTTAAAAAAAGTTGAATAATATTGGATAATATTATGAGTTTTTAGATATTTTACTGTTTAACTTTTTTGAGTATACTAATAATAGTATTCCCAAAAACCAACCAAATGGAGCTTTTGTCTTTTTAAAGTCTCTTTTTTCTACTTTTTTTTATTAAAAAAGAAAAAGTTAACCCACTTTTAGTCAGTTGTGCAGTTTCATAACAGTTGCTACAAATTATAATATTTCTCAAATGACTCAATGGATTGACTACTTAAAACACAGAAACGTGTTCACATATTTAGCTTGAACTTATGGGCTTGGTCGTTTTGGCTGTCTCTTCTCACAGTTATGATTCCATATACAGTACATTTATAGATTAATTTTTAAAAAGTTTAAAACATGCTAATTTGTCAACCATGGACCATATCAAATGGCCTACAGGCAGATTCTGTTGTTCATCATTATCTTAAATGCGCAGACTTGAACTCCAATTGGTTTCTGTAATGGTGCTTCACCAAACTCTAGCAGGATTGCAGGGAAAATTGAATATATGATAACCCACAATTGACCACCACCAGTACACTATAAGAATATCAAGATTTGAAAGAGCATGTGTAAAATCATTTTTGGCCACTTCCACAACTGATTTCAAACACACCCACTTAAGAAAAATAGTGCTCCATTAATTTTTTTTGACAGTGATTTTATTTTGGTTTAGTTCTAAACTGATTCTAAGTTTTGTACATTAGATTTATGAATTAATTAATGGGCATTAATCAAAATCTTCTAAAGTTCATTTTATCAGTTGTTACATCATTTCATTAAATATTGAGTAATGTTACAGTTACTGAAATGAGTGTACCAAATTCATGCACCGAATGACGTGGTTTAATCTTGACTGTCGATTAATTATAAAATTTATAATTAATCGACGATCAGGATTGAATCACGTCATTCGGTGTATTCTTTTTTATAACTGTATTATTTTTCCTAAATATTTGAGTGTACCAATTTGAACGTACTTTCTTTTGTGAATCAGGGACAGGAAAAGAGAGAGATCTGTTACAACTGTTAATTTTATCCTTCAACAAATCTTTAAATATAATATTCTTATTCAAATCTTATGAGAAATGCTGAGCTCCAAAAAGAGAAAATGACATTTTTTTTTTTCTATTTAATTAACAGAACAAAGTCTAATACAAATTAAGTAGGAAGAAGGCCTGTAGTGCACTAACGTCTCATCCATCTCTAGCCTTTCAGCGATAGAACCGTAGAGGAGGAATACTCTGTTCATGCCTGAAGAAATTTTCAGGATCAAATACGGTTTTTACTCTCACTAATCTGTTGAAATTATCCTTGAAATACTTCTCGCCCCAAACCTTCGCCTGACTGTAACTCGTGCTTCGCTTCTTGTTCATGCCCAACTCAAGATCCCTGTAATTCACATACGCTTCTCTGGGAGACTGCGAAACATAAGGCGCCATGTATTTATAAAGCTTCCTCATCCAATTTATATGCTTTTTCTCGCTCTTTTCTCCATCTACCCAAGCTGTCACGTACTGGATTTTGAATAAAGTCCCCTTTCTATGAGGAAACGGAGTTGCAGATTCTGAAATCCTGCTCATCATTCCCCCGTACGGGGTCCATATTGTTAACGGAATATCTTCTTGTAAAAAGCTTTTCCATATCCCCTCAAGTGCAGCTTCAGGAATCGGTTCTTTAACAAAGTCTGATTTGGCTTTGAAATAGACCTTGGGTAATAAAGGCTTGCCCTGAAGAAGGAATTCAGCCGTTATGTTGCTCGGATACCCGGCGATATAAAGCACTGAATTGATCCAGCTCGTTTCGATGCAATCTTTTCGCGATAATCCCAATTCCGGGAAGCTCTTCTTCATTACCCTGAGGAGTCTATTAGCACCGCCGAGAAACAGGGCGTTGTATGAAGTTGTTACAGTTCTGGTTCCGTTTTGGTCTGCACTTGTTTGAATGATAACTCTAATAAAGAGATTTTCATCAAGTTTATCCGCAACTTGTTGCCATCTATACAGGATTTTAGCGGCGCCTTGCTCCAGGGACTTAGTAACTGTAAAAACTGTTACGGTTTCTGGTACAGGAACCAATTTTATCTTCCAGGCGAGAATGACTCCGAAGCTTGCTCCTCCGCCCCCTCTGATCGCCCAAAAGAGGTCTTCTCCCATGGCTGCCCGGTCAAGAATTCTGCCATTGGCGTCGACAATTCGGGCGTCAAGAACATTGTCAACTCCAAGGCCGTATTTTCTCATCATGGAACCGTAAGCTCCTCCTGTAATGTGCCCACCAATGCCTAAACTTGTGCAAAGGCCGGCAGGAAAGCCGTGAACTTTGCTTTTCTGTGCAATTCTGTAATAGACTTCGCCGACTGTGGCACCCGCCTGAACCCAGGCGTTGTTTTGTTGAATATTAACGGTAATGGATCGAAGCTTGGCGAGGTCAACGATTACAAAAGGGGTTTCGATTCCGGAGACATAGGAGAGACCCTCATAGTCATGTCCTCCGCTCCGAACTCTGAGATGAATTCCGAGAATTTTGCAGCAGATAACAGCTGCCTGGACTTGGGGTTCAGACAAAGGCGTGAAAATAAACTCAGGCTTAGGCTTTGAAGGCTCCAAATACCTTAGATTTTGGGCAGTGGAATTTAGGATTCGAGAAAATGATGAAGGATTATATGGGGTGTAAAAACTAGAGGAAGGAACAGAAATCCTGGAATTGAAAGAGAGGCATTGTTTGAAGCTTTGTAGAGTTGCAGTTGGAGTTGAAGTTGCCAATGAAACTGACAACAAAAAAACCGAAACTAGAACAATAAAATTGCTTGAAAACCTCATATGATTATCTGAGATTTCCAGCTTCTGCATAATGAGTTAAGGAATTTAGGCTTCAGAGTTGTGTTATATATAGGCTATGAATTGGATGATCCTAACGTGTAATTGACATAATCCTAACGTCACATCATATTGAGTTTTAATTTTCTATCGATAATTTCTGCAAATTGCAGCAATGACTTGAGCTTCTAAGATTGACCCATCATTTATTTGTTTCAATAATATTATTAAAATATCATAATCAATTCTAAACAGGGCAGTTGACATCTTCTTCTTTTTTGATATAGTGGCACTAGTAATGATAACATAGCGCAACAGCTTACTCTATATGCCATATCCAGACGAGAATTTAGAAAAAATTATGGGACTAATTACTTAAAATTGATCTATATTTCCAAATCATCCATCAACTGAATTCAACAATTGCAGAGCAGAGAGTTGAAATTGTGTTAGGTTTGCATTTAAAAATGTCATATTCAAGTTTTGTTTTTTTTTTTTGTTGATTAATTTGGATGTTACTTGTAACTTCACAGTGACTCAGTAGAACAGGGTTCAAATCACAAACAAAAACTTATGGATCTCCAACTCAGGAGTGATAACTCTTTTAAGTTCTTTTTTTTAATAAGACAATGATACAATGGGGGAGAATACAATTATTTTATTTTTGAATTAGTCAAATAAGAGCAGAAATTGGTTGATTAGCTTATTGCTTACCCAGTCTTTAGCTTTTACTAATTTTTTGCTTTTAGATCTATATAAAAAGCATCGGTCTAGTCTTTCATAAGCAAGCAAAGTAATAAAAGTTCTGCCTGTTTGTTTAACTTTTTCGACCCTATTATATTCTATTTTCTTATCATAAAAAATGAAAAGCATATTTGTTTTAATGTTGTTTAAAATCCAATCATATTCTATTCGGCTCAAAATATTTAACAATTATCTTTTTCAATAAAAGTTTATAAATTAACAAAAATATCCCGATCCACCCAAGCAATAGTCGCCCGCCAGCAACCACTGTCTGCTGCTAGCTTCGGAACAACGCATGATTTGCTGGATCTGATCGATTGTACGCCGCTCTATCTGCTTCTGGCCAAATCCACCATCGATCTGGCCATTGACGATGATCATATCTTGGCTGTCGTTGACGGCCAAACGACAACCATTTTTACCATTAACAACCATATCTTTGGTCATAGATCTGGTCGTTTCTATCCAAATTCAGGTGGATTTGGTCAGAAACGACCAAATCGGCACATGACTGACCAGATCCAGTCGGTCATACGCCATTCTAACGACTTTTGGCCACCGTCCGGTGGTAGTGGCCAGCTGTCGACAATCAGTTGAATGAGTGAATGTATTTTTTGTTAATTTATAAACTTTTATTGAGGGGTATTTGGCTAAATTAATAATATATGGGACTAAAAAAATTTAAATGTTCTTAGAAATTTTTTTCAAAAAATGTACTAAACGCATTTTCATAATTCTATCATATTTGATTAAATAATATCCTATTATTTAAAAAAGTGCATCAAACGGAGCCATGTAGTTGTTCTTAGTTTTTTGTCTTCCTCATTTCTCAAAATTTAAATATTTTATCATTAGTAACATTTATGATAGATTAACCTATATGGAAAAAGGAAAATAAATAAATAATAATAATCCTAAAGAAAATTAATTATGTCAAGGAAAATGAGTGATTAATTTGAACACTTCTTCTGACTTGATAATCAGAATCTATAACAAGAACAATTTTCAAAGGATCAATAGGTTTTAAGAAAGTCGGCTAAGTATAATATTACATTTATTTTTTTTCGATGTTGAGATTTGTTAAAATAATTAAAAAAGGAAAATACTATCTTATGTGTACCTTAAAATAACTATTAAAATATTGATTCTACAGCTGAATTTCCCACCAACCAACCACACGTGTTTTTTTTTTTATAAAGGTCTTTTTTTATCTTTTTCTTTCCATCAGTCTTTTAGACTTTTAGTTTTAGGTCACAGCCAAGTTGAATGTCGGCCAGTTACCGTTGATTGCGGTAAAAGCCAAGTAGTTGACGTTGACTACAAACGACCATGGCTGCCCGTTTGTTTTATGAGTGTATAATGTCCTAATAAATATGGGTTTAATTCCATTTGCGAGATATTAAATTTCAGGTGTCCAATTATTTACTAAAGTATCTAAAGTTTTTTTAATTTAAATTATATAGAGGATTTTTTATATTTTATAAGAAGTTTTCAATAATTTTAGAGGCAGGTTTAATTTTTTCTAAAAATTGCTAGAACGTTTTAGACTTAATTATATATCTCTCAAATCCATATAATATCAACATTTTAATATAATTATCAATAATCGTTAAAATTCTTATATAATATAACAGCATAAATAGATAATGTTAATTACGCAAAACAAATACAAAACTTACCTATTTTGCCCTTAATTTAGGGGCTTAAATATTTTAATGTGGTATTATGGAAGGTTTTTTCTTTTTCTTTTTTTTAATTGATATTGTGAAAGTGAGCAATTAAACTTCAAAAATCCTCTAATTCTAATCATCATTTGGTTGCGACCCTTAGGAACAATCTCTAAATGGTCAATTGTTTTTTTTTATTTTTTTTAATAACTCATAATTAACTCTCCGTAAATATTATTTGACAATTTAAAACAGATTTTTCAATGGAAAATGCAAATATTTCTCTTGAGGTTGAAGATTAAAATAAGTTATTATTATTATTATTATTATAACTATATTTTGTCTATTGCAGATTGTTAGTTTTGTGAATTAGGAGGTTCAATTTTAGTGTTTAGTAATCCGTTTGACAAAACAAAAATTAAATAGAGTAGAAAAGATGATTATTAATGGGTGTTAATTTAGTCTTCTAACTATTAACACCCATTAAATAAGAGAAATAACAATAAGACATGGGCAGTGGAGATTTATCTAATTGTCAATATAAACCAATAGTGTATTGGATGTCATTTGAGGAATGAAATTTGTGGACTTCACTGATTTTTGTCTTTCTTTTTGCAGGCACCAGTCAGTTGTGATTTTGGGCCTGGGCATACGGGATTTTGTATTCTTTATAAAATTACTATTTATCCCAAAAAAAAAAAAAAAAATGACATATTATATTTGTACATTTGGTCGTGAATTCCAATAAAACGTCAATCTTTTTATCTAAAAATTACAGCAAGTATTTCCAACGTTTTCACCTTCTAATCTCATATTCTCATGCAGGCGGTGATGGAATGGAAGAAAAAGAGCAAATTTGGTTAGACATCTTTATTCATTATAATCAAACCAAGCAATACAATCAAAATTACAGTTTAACTATGAATATATTAGTCCAATCAAACCTTAGAATACTCGGCCTGCGCCTCCCAGTCGCGTGGAAGAGGTGGAATGCTCTGTTCATGCCTGAAGAAATTATCAGGATCAACTTCTGTCTTCACTTTCACCAATCTGATGAAGTTATCCTTGAAATACTTGGTTCCCCAAACACTAGCCTCAATGAAACTTGTGTTTTTATCCTTGTTCTTTCCCAAATCAAGATCCCTGTAATTCACATATGCAGTTCGCGGAAGCATTGAAACATAAGGACCCATGTAATCGTATAACCTCCTTATCCAGTCAAAATGCTGCGTCGTGTTCTTTTCTCCGTTTTGCCATGTACTCAAGTACTGGATTTTGAATATTGTTCCCTTTCTGTGCGGGAAAGGAATTTCAGATTCTGAAATCTTGCTCATCATTCCTCCGTAAGGGGTCCATATTAACAGTGGAATATCTTCTTCCAGGATTCTTTTCCAGAGCCCCTCAAGTGCTGTTTCTGGAATTGGTTCTTTAACAAAGTCTGACTTGGCTTTGAAAAAGTTCTTGAACAAAGACTTCCCTTGAAGTAGAACTTCAGGAGGTGTGTTACTTGGGTATCCGGCAATGTAAAGCACTGATTTGATCCAGCTTGTTTCAGTACAATCTTTTCTTGTCAAACCCAGTTCAGGGAAGCTCTCTTCCATTACCTGGAGGAGTCTGGTGGCGCCGCCGAGAAACAAAGCATTGTATGAGGTTGTTATAGTTCTCTTGCCTTGTTGCTCTGTGCTTGCTGCAGGTGAAATGATAACTCTGATGAAGAGATCCTCATCCAGCTTATCTACAACTTGTTGCCATCTATAGAGGAGCTTTGTGGCGCCTTGTTCCAGGGTCTTGGTCACTGTAAAAACTGTCACAGTTGCTGGTACAGGAACCAATTTTAGCTTCCAGGCGAGAATAATTCCAAAGCTTGCTCCTCCTCCTCCTCTTATCGCCCAAAAGAGGTCTTCACCCATGGCTGCGCGGTCAAGAACTCTGCCATTAGCATCTACAATTCGGGCGTCTGCAACATTGTCAGCACCGAGGCCATATTTCCTCATCATGGAACCATAAGCACCTCCTGTGATGTGCCCGCCAATGCCTAAGCTTGTACAGAGACCAGCTGGAAAGCCATGAACCTTGCTTTTCTCTGCAATTCTGTAATAGGCTTCACCAATGGTGGCACCGGCTTGAACCCAAGCACTGTTGTCATCTATATTAACACTGACAGAACGGAGCTTGGCGAGGTCCAAAATGAAGAAAGGCGATTCGATTTCAGATACATAAGAAAGGCCCTCATAGTCATGGCCTCCACTCCGAACTCGTAGATGAATTCCAAGTTCTTTGGAGCAAATAACAGCCGCCTGAACATGGGATTCATACAAAGGCGTGAAGATGAGCTCGGGCTTGGGCGCAGACGGCACAAGGTACCTGAGGTTTTGAGCAGAAGATTGTAGGATTGTAAAAAATGAGGAGTTGTTTGGTGTGTAGAAAGTGGACATCGGAGAAATAATCTCAGAATGTGCAGAGATGCATTGGATAAAGTTCTCTAGAATTGAAGTTGAAGTGGTCCATGAAGCGCATAACAAAAGGACTGTAACTATTGAAAGAAAGTAATTTTTTGAGAACATCATTGTTCAAGTTCTCCTGCTTTTGTGTTTGTATTGTACCAGAACAGAGGGTATTACTATTATAGACGGGCTATGGCTTTGATGAAACGTGCATCAAATTCAAAGATAATCCTAACTTCAAGTTAAGGAGTCCCCACCTTTTTCTGTCTTGGGTATATTATTTTATTTAAGTTCTCGTACGGTAATAATAGCATAAACAGTGCATGATCATGTTGTACTTGTACCTGGACATGAACAGAGTACACGCTCAAGGGAAAGTGACCCACCCTTCGCTTAGAATGCAATCCCAATAATTATTCTGGAGCTTTGGATAGGGATGTACAAGAAGAAAAAAAAAAAAAGACCTTAGATGCTCAAATAAATTTAGGCCCTATATTAAGAAAGCAAAGATTGTGTGCACTCCAATTAAACCTTCCAATATTATCCATTCCTAAGTCTTGGTTGCCGGATAAGAGAAACAACAAAACCCAACTACACCGAAAATTTACAGTCCAAAATATCATTATTAACGAAAGAAATAGAGAATGAATGCTAAGTTGAGAAGATAATGGGTTTGGTAGGTGCTGAGAGTACCCTGTACAACTAGAAAACATAGATATGTAACAACAAAACTACTCTTGAAAAATAGGACAAAACTTGTAGAAACGAGAGATCTTAAGCTTGAGGTTGGGGCAAAGTATCAGTCAATTTTTGCAAACCAACAAACTGCTAAAGTTTCCCAGACTAGAAGAAAAGTCAATATCAAAATGCTCTCCCGGGTTTCCTCAGTGCAACAGAAAACTGTTGATTTCACGATTGTGCATCAGAGAACCAACAGAACTCTCAGATTTCATGAAGTGATGTAAGTTTGGCAATGCTCTAGTGGTGGAATATGGTATGCTATGGGGTAGTAGCAAATTTCAACAAGTTTGCCTCCATAGCAAATCAGACTTTCCCTTTAAAACATCCTCACGTCTAAATTGAAGCTTCCGTATGGCGGTGCTCAAGGTTACGGAGTACAATTTTAGCAAATATTTTGGCTTCAATAGGAGCGGCTAATGCTGCTGCAGCACCACGCAGAACTCTTAATGCTCCCACATTTTGCAAGAGGCTTGTGTGGTGTATTGCATGCCGTCCTCCGGGCATGGTAAACTGCGATTGAAAACTTTTATGAGGATAAAGTTCACTATTCCATCAAACATGTATTCTTAATAAAACCAATTACAGATTTTGACATCATAAACCTATAGAGGGTTTCCATTGCATGTGATATACAATAATTACACCACCTAATGACATTTTTGTAAATAACGTGTTTATCCAAATCAGCGTTGAATTGAATTAATTATTCAACCATAAACATCATGAATATCATATTTTAAACAGATAGGAAATCAAGAATTATTCTATAAATGAATCTACGAGTAAAAGTATAAGAGCATGTTTGGTTGCACTTATCTACTAGCCTAAAGAGCTTATTAAAACCATAATCACTTTTGAAATTTCTTTAGCTTGGTTGGTAACATTTCAAAAGCATTTATAGGATTTAAAATAAGCTATTTTACGGCTTATAGGAGAAGCTCAAAATTTGAGCTTATTTAAAGTGTTGAAATTTCAAAAATATCCTTATTCTATTTAAAAATTTGACTTGATTTACTCTTATATATTCAAGCCCTTTCTAGTAAATTAACACGAGAAAGCTCTTTTATATCTTTCTAACAAACAACTAACAAGTTTCATAAAAGCTATATTTTCATAAGCTCTTCATCAAAACATTTTTCTTCTATAAGCTCTACTCGAATAAACCGTACCAAACAGGCCCTAATTTAATGATCTCGTCATCTGGACTAAATGGTATGAATATAAAGTAATTTGGAATTTCACTCTATATATGTATATAACTACAAAATTAGATCTAATAATTATTACTAGATGGTACAAGAATTGTCATTTCTATAACTTGTGTGTATATATACCTGGAGAAGAGCAAATGCAGCACAGGTCTTAAGTATAGATGATGGATTCCTTAACATAGTGACAAATCTTCCAATCTCAGCTGCACTGTAGAGGAAAAAAGTGAAAGAAAATATATGAACTACAATCAATCCAGAAAGAAAGCACAATAAGAAGTGTTTGACCAATATATAAACAAACGGATGGGCATGCAAAATCAACATAAGGGAATGCCAAGAAAAGTATACCTGCATCTCAAATGCCCCGCTTCTGATATGCATGCTCCTTCTGTTATTTGTGTTAGAGCTGTTGGGGCTGATGATGCAACAGCGGTAGCAAAGGTTTGGGGATCAGAAAATGAGAGCACAAATTCTTCAATATGCTTCAAGGCCACTATTCTAACGGCATCTACATTCACAGTCTTTGAAGTGCCCTCTGATGAAGACCCCACTGATGCAATGGCATCCATTCTATATGAATTATACACAAAAATTACATCTCCGAAGGTTCTCAAATATTTGCAATGCCAGCAACCAAGAGAAGCATAAATATGATTCCTTTCTTCATTGCAATATTAAGTGCTCCATCTTAGTGTAGTCCTTAAATGACAGATATTCAGGCAAAAGGAGAAAACCATTTATTGATTGAATTATTATTTAAGAAGAAATTTTTTAGCTCACAGCAGGTTTTAAGAGGAGTAGTTGATTGGAAACTGGCTCCGAACAAGTTTTAAAAAATTCCAGGACATGAAGAAGTTTTGGTATTTACAAACCCTGGTTGATAACTTGATATTATATCAAAGTTCCAGAGAAAGGATGGCATTTTTTTATCTTTGTCCAATCAATAGAAAGATAATTTCACTGAAGAGACAAACACATCATGGTAATTAGCATGATATATTTTACATTCCAAAACGAAAGAAGCACATTTTCTTCTTCCAACTAAGACAATGGTGAGACAAGCAAGAACACATTTCTCAACATCTGACTCTTCCAAGCTATATTTCTAGGTCAATGAGGAATCGAACACACTTGGTTGCATGAACAGTGATAGAAGGTTTAAGAAGACAGGGTATCATTCCTTCACACAATCAACATGTCTTTCACCCTTAATACCCTCTTAATCTCCATCTATGATGTTTGACACAGAAAGCAGGTTTCCTTATGTGTGTGCTAACATCATAACATTTAGAAAAAAGATAGTTTGATGTTCTACCTCCCATCAAACATGTACGCCAATGCCAATGCAGACATAAAACGCGCCATTTTTGACTGTGATGTTGAACAGAGATGCACAAGTGCTGGCACACCCCCATCCTCCACTATACGAAGAGCATTACCAGGATTGAATGCCAGATTCCAAAGAGCTCCTGCTGCAGTCTCATGGACATCCTGAATAGAGCACAAATATCCAAAATTTATTTCATGTTTAAGTTTGACTATTTCAGAAGAGCTTCTTAAGAGACCACAGGAATGCATAGAACACAATTTATATAAATGCTGTATTAAACCTTCAAATAAGAAGTGCAGATAAATTAAGGTCCCACCTTCAAGTAAGACACACCTTCTAATAAGTTTTTATCCAATGGATTCAATTCAGTCTCAGTGATCTTAGCATTAAACATTGAGATGGACTGGCTTATGTCATACAGATGACAGCAATGCAGAAATCTCAATGCAGTTTCCTTTAATTACTAATCCAAAAGAAAGGATTCCAGAGTACTCATGTCAAAATCTACTTAAGAACACAGCGATGGATACCATCATTGTTGCAGTACATAATTTTTATGATAAATGAAGATGATAAGACAAGGAAAGGAATTGATTGGCTTGTCAAGGCTAGATCCTAATACTCAATGTCAACGATAGCAGCAGATGATCTTTTCTTGTCCTCGATGAACATTGCTTCCATTAATATTCTGGTCATGATTCATCTAACTGTGCAGAAAATGCAAACTTACTTCAACACCTGAGCGTGCTAATGCAATAAGAGGAGCTACACCGCCTTCTTGTCCAATAGCAATGCTAGAATAATAGAGAGCAGACATAACAGGTAAAAAAAAAAAAACTAGAATTAGATCTCAGGGACATAACCCTAAATATGAAGAATATTTGAATATACTGAGAAGAATCCATCAGATGAAAAACTATAACAATATTATCAGGAAAAAAAAGGTGATATGAGTTTGAGTCTTTGCCATAGAGTGCAAATTCTTAGCCACAGATTGACATTGTAAAGCACGTCCAATTTCACGTTACAGTTGTATTTCTTTACTTAAGTTTTTTCCTACTGAGTTTTTTCTTGAATAAGGTTAAATACAATTATCTGTAAGCGGTGGATGTCCAAGGGGGAGTATTGTAAAATGTGTCCATCCACCACCTTAACATGAGGCGGTAGGGGCAGTCAAAAGGAGGTGGGGGTTTTTCTATAAATACCCCCCTCCCCTTCATTCATACAACATGCAAAATTTAAGAAGTTTAATAACATATCAATTAGGTCCCCCAATTCTCTGGCTTTACTCATTCTCTCTTTTATTTGTTAGCTTATTTCCTTATCTGAGTTAATTATTATACAACGCAGTGAGTGGCCCCTAAGTTTATGTAATAAGCAACTTCCATCTTTTTACGGACATATACCAAATTAAGGCCACAATCACTTAAATCATACTTTAACATAATCAAATTCTTAGAGTAGCCATGCATTATATAAATAAAAACCTACCATATGCTTATCAATTCAGGTAGGACATAGGAAATATATAGAACCACTCGGTATAACCACCAGCACAAAGCAAAGATATATTTTGCAGATGGCAAATGAACAAAACAGAGAGTTCATAGAACCTGAGAAAATTGCTCAATTACATTCTGCAAATTTTGCAATCTTAATCAATGATTTTATTCTGTTTCTATTGCTGATGCAAACCATAAATTTATTGCTTATATAATAGATGCTGAAGTGCTTCTAAAATATTGCAAAAATTGGAAACTGGAAGATGGAACAGAAAGACAGACTACACTGCTGCAAATCGTAAAGCACAAAGGCATTGTTACACGCATTTGGCTTATGGAAAAAATGATCCTTGGCAACGACATGTTAAGACAAAATATGTAAAAGACAACCAAAACTGAGAATCAGCAAAACTATAACAGACAAAACTCACAAAGTCTACTAAATACCTGTTAGTTTCTGACACTGACAACCCCCAGAGAGCACCTGCAGCCCTTTCTTGAAGACCTTGGGAGGAAACTAAGCATGATTGAGCAAGAGCAACCTAGAAAACCAAATTGGGACCCAAATTTGAAACTGCTTGAGATAGTATACCACATCATCCCAACAAACGATAACCATAGTAACATTGTTATATGGCTAAGCAAAACATCAGCATCACTAATTAGATAATTCATGACTTTGGAGATCATAACAAAATTTCCCTCTACCACTTCAGTGCTTTCCCTAGCTTGGTTCTCATTCAACAATTTGGATACAAAAGTGGTTCATCACAGTGTTACAAATGAATCATTCTTTGCTCCACATAACTTATCTATTTTTTTCTTTAAAACTTCATAATCCTGAGTTTTGCTTCCTTTCCTTAATCATGTAAATTGGTTTAAAACTTCTTTTTCAACTTCCGAGTCCTTTACCTGCTCCACAAAGCAAGCCACAAGCGGCAATCCAAACAAGGATTTAAACTAGGGCTTCTCCTCATTAAATTAGTTTTTTCCATAATTTCTTTTGGTTGATTGATAGAAGAAACCGTAAACCAATCCTGATGCAACCTAGCCTTCTCTTCGTTCACTGGTAGGAAAAATGTTGTGATCTCTCATCGGATAGAAAGAGGATATGTCTTAGGCTTATAAGGGTGGGTAGGTAGGCGTCATCTAATAAAATAGTCTTCTAGGGAAATGTTGGGGGTGAGTTGAACCCGCCAGGTAGGCATCCTAAAACCAATTAAGGAGTAAGTTAAACCAGTCAATGATAGTGTTGAACATGACAAGGGTGTCATGTAATTGAGTTGGGAGAATGTTGTAATCCCAAATTGGTTAGAAATGGTTTCGGTCTTAGGCTTATAAAGGTCTTAAGCTTATAAGGAAAGATAAGAAGCATCACCGAACATATTAGTTTTTTGGATAGTTGGCAAGCACCCAACCCTTGAAAATTGGCATTTTAGTAGGTGGCATCAAAATTCTTTTCAGCAGGTGGCATCAAAATTTTAAACAAACTTCATGAGCTTTCTAAACCTAAGCAACGAGTGTCTAAATGACAAAAATCTTATCAACCTTCACAAATTAGTTCATGGTATCAGTGTATCAGTAAAGTGCACCCACATAAGAATTATCCAAGGCAAGTTGGTTATCAAGGAGTTGATTAATTTAATTATGAATTATAATTTAACCAAGAACCGTTTTGTACAAAAGAATATTGTGGGAACTTTTAATATTTTTGAAGTTTATGTAGCCACAGCAAAAACCCAAAACTTGCAAATATGAAAGAAGATTAGTTTGCAATTGAAATGCCATACCAAGGCCTCAACACCACCACCATCAGCAATTGCTTCTCGATTTTTGTCATCAAATGATAAATTCCACAAAGCACCAGCAGCTTCTTGCCTGTGGTAAATATAAAAATTTACTACAGTCAAAGTGTGTGAAGTTAAGCACATTCAATGGCAGTCTAGGGTCAACTCGGAATTTAACTGAATCTCATTTAAACAGCTAGATTTAAGTTGATTTTACACTTTTAGTAACATTCACAAATGCAGAAGAGTGACTACAAGAAGGAACCCAAATAGATTACTAAATTCATATCTTCAGCTATCTAAATTTATGGGATATCCAGTTATTTGTGAGGATTCTACTATTTGAGCAACTTCTATATTTATGCTGCAGGCTATTAAGAAGAAAAATTTAATACCTCACTCCTTCATGTTGAGAACAAGTAAGTTGCACCAATGCTTCCAGCGCACCTGGCTCTCGCCCAACAGCAGCATTATCGCTATTGTTATCTCCCTGAGCAGCCAAATTAGCCAAGGCACGAGCAGCCTGCTCAAAGCAGAAACACCAGTTTGTTAGCATATTACCGCTAATACAGCATAGTATTTATGTGCAGTTCACTTCCTTTTACAATGAAAAAATAAGGTCTGGAACTTCCATGCGGTAAACCCATCACATATGAACATTAAATACTTTCCAACTTATATACACAACTATCTTGCACATAATGAACATGTGGAACGTTAAATAAATTGCAACTGACACCAAAAAGAAACATCAAACATCAACTCCCTTCAAGTGCTGGAAAACAAAGAGTTTTAAGCAAATTGCAACTGACACCAAATAGAAATGCTTTAACTTGGAGTTCCACTACAACGAGGCCTGCAATCTGCAGTTCCACTAGATATTAAAAGACACAGAGCCTTCGCAACCAGACAATTTGATCCTCCCTGGTTCTTACAATCATAAACGATTTGACAGAAGCAAACTACAAATCAAAATGATTCAAGTCAGTCTGCTATTAAACATCATTATTGGCTGGCACACAGACCGTGCTAGAATTTGTGTGCTTGGACATGTTACTGAGGCTTGTAGATTTGTAGTGCAGAGCTAAGCCTGTATCTGGAGGCCCATTCAATTTTCTGGCCAAGCTTGAGCATAACAACAACCTCCAGACAGCTCAATATCTCTTCTTTCTGATCTCCTCTCTTCTCTGTCTTTCTCTTACTTATCTCCTTCTCCTGCATCTCTCTCTCTCTCTCTCTCTCTCTCTCGATTGCAATAAGATCCCTCCCCATTTTTCAGAGATTAGCATTCGAACTGTAAAGGATCTTCATTTCACCTTCCATTTCCAAGGCTTCATGATAGACCAATATATAAGTGGCCAAAATGTGAACAAAATAATAATTTTCAAAGGAGATGCAATCAGAAATACGATCCAGAGCATGCAGAATGAAATAAAACCTTTAACATGTAAATGATCATTGCTTCTTTTAAACAAAAGGTATACTAGAAGTAAACCAAAAATACCTGCTCCTGAACCCCTTCAAACTTGCAGGATCGAACAAGCATGACCAAAGCATAAACACCACCTGCCTCTGCCACCTCCACACAACATTTATCATCAGCAGCCAAATTTGCTAGGGCCCCGGCAGCACGTTCCTGATATTAACCAATTGCGAAGACCACCACACAATTACTTCACATATTACAATACCATGAGGGAAGCGAAAAAGTGAAATAATTGGCTTTAAAGCAAGATACATACAAGAACCCCATCACTGCTAGCAGACCATTTGAAAATTAGGTCAACTAAAGCTTTTACACCACCTGCCTTTGCAATAGCACCCTGAAAAGACTATTCATCAATAAAGGACAGAAATTTTGTGGACAGTATATAGTCAAACTGCTTCATTTTAACAACCTTATGCTCTTCTCCAACAGAGAGATTCCATAGCCCTCCAGCGGCCTCTTCAGCAACTGATCTGTTCATTGACCTCGCTAAATTGGAAAGGATGTCAATTCCCCCACTTTCAGCAACAGCTTTTGCAACTTTTGTATCGACAGATAAATTTGCTATAGCCTGCAAACCACAACTATATGATGGAGAACTTTTCTAATTACCAAAAGAAAAATAAAATTAAAGGGCTGGAGATCACCTAAGAAGTAAAGCAAAACACAAGAAAATTACTAAAGATTTAACATCTGATTTCAATTAGGAACCATTCTTAATGCTTATAATTCAGAATTCCAGCTTTAAGAAATAAAATTTTGACAAAATTTTGCACAAAAAAGGAAGTCATATCTAAGGGTCAACAATTATTGGAATTCATATTTTAACAAAGATTAGCTTACTTTTGCTGCCTCAGATTGAAGTCCTTCTTGACAAGATTTTGCAAGGTCCAAAAGCAACTGTATCCCACCATGCTGCAAAATCACCTCAGCCCTTCGACAATCAACAGTGGCATTTTCATCATCAATGACAACAAAAGTTGCAACTGCTGTGGCTGCTCTTTCCTGAACTTCCTCTTGTGAGCTTTGCATTAAACTGAGCAATAACACTGCCCCTTGTCTGAGCCAGAAATCATCAAACTCCTTTGGGTTTTTCTCCGCAATACGCAATAGTGTATGGGAAAGAACCCACTCAATCCACTTTATAATCTCATATGAACTTCTATCTCTTTTCTTTAATATCATCCAGTAATGGAACACATCCTTGTCACTTTCAGTAATGTCACCAAATAATGAGGCTATTCCCTTGAAAATTTCACTGAAAAGGGAAACTATAATTTTACCCTTCTGATTATACATCATGTTATTATCAACTTCAGCTTCAAAAACTGGACAATTCAAAGCAAACAAAACTTTCAAGTTTCGGCAAGATGACAACAATCTCATAACAGCACTTAAACTTATATCAGTTCTTGAGACATCTAACCCCACCAAGCTTGGCAATCTACTCCAAACTTGAGCAGCAGAACTCCATTTCAAATTTCTTGATCCAGCTATTGACAAAAATCGTACAGAATTTAAGTTTCCCAATGCCACTTCATTGATAACTTCTGACTCAATGAATCCAACCTGTACCAACTGCCCACAATGCTTAGCCAAAGCATTTATGGCATCTCCATTTACTTCCCGAACTCCTGATAGCCAAAGCCTTCTCAACTTGGGGCAGCAATATGCAATAGCTTTGATTGCATCACTGCTGATTTTCTCACATGCATCCGGCCCAAGATAAAGACTCTCGAGCATCTCATGCCTAGCTGCTATCACCGAAAGTGCAGCATCTGTGATGTCTCGACAAAGATCGCCACTAATTTCACAAAGCCCCTTGGCTTGTAGACTAATTACAGCATGAGCTGATTCTGCCCCACGAAACCAAAGTCTTTGAAGATTAGTGCACCGAGAGGCAAGCCACTCTGCAGCTGATTTATCAAACTTGTGGGACCGAAGATCTAATGACCGCCATAAACAAGGGGACGAACCTAATAGCCTAAATGTTTGACATGTTGAGGACAAGCTTACACGGTCTCGATAATTTAAATATGAAAAGAGTTGAATGACTGTATCATCAGGCAATGTTATCCAATCAACCTCAAAATTCGCTTGCGAACTTGAGCACCCAGAATCCAACTCTGAACTACTTCCTATAATTCCGTTACTACTTTTGTCCTCAGAGTGGCACACTTTCTGCCTCACCCTTCGAGTCATATCTCAATGAAACAAGCTCCAAATTTTCGAACACTACAAAACAAACAGTTAAAACAGTCTTTTAGTTTGATCAGAATCCAAACAATCAACTTCCTTCTTAATCTTCAGCCAAAACTAAATCATCACACAATTAAAGCAAAAATCCCCCCAAAATCCACAAACTTCACATTCATTAAAAATTCAACAAGGTTGAATTTTTTGAGCACTGCAGATCCAGTACTGAACAGCCTCCCGTATTCTCATAGATAAACAATCTTAAGATTGAAGAAAGAAAACCAACAGACCATGCATACATTAAACAAGTTCCCAATTGCTCAAACAACTGCAGATTACTTGAAAACAATCTTCAATTCAAGAAACATTTGTTATTGAGTAAAACAAGCTACAGACTTTTTTTCAGAATGACAAAGCCAATGAACAAACATCAACTTTAACAAGCATTCAAGCATCCAATCAAATAATATCAATTTAGAAAACTGCAAACACCCAGAAAGTGAAAAGTCCATCAAATTCAAGAAACATCACATACTCAAGCATAACGCAATGAATAAATAAACACATAAACGAAAATTTCACATTATGCAAAGCATTACAAGATAAAATAATAAAAGCAAAAACAAGAAATGGGTGTACCTTTATGCTGGAGAACAGATTTTGATTCCTTAGGGATAGGTATTTAAGAGTAAAACTGACGCTGAAAATAGAGTTAAAAGACAATGGCAGTTAGAGTAGAAAGTAATGCGAAAAAACAAAAACACTCTTCGGAATCATCTGCTTCTTCTCTACATGTGTTCACTTTTATAATTATCTGATGGTTAAAAAAAAAAAAATTAAAAAAAAAATAATAAGGTAAGACACAACACAAGTGAGAACTGGGAAGCAGATGTGCGGTGTTGGTAAGTATTTTCTTACATTGTAATTGTAAGAATTTGGAGGGTTAAAATGAAATGAGTCAATTTCAGTCAACAAATGACTTCACTCCATTTTCAAAAGACTTAGGTGTAAATGCCTAATCAAGATTCAAGAGTTGACAAATGCATATTGCTAATAAAACAGGTTATTGATTCCAAGCCCCATGGTGATAGTATTATTATCTTTCTTCTTTTCTTTTTTCCTCTTTTATTTTTTTTTTATTTGGGAGTACCTCACCAGTTTGTGTGTATCTCAAAAAGTCTTTTGAGACCTTGAAATTAAGGTTAAAGAAAGCCTTTAGTGACTATCCTTTATTAATAGTCGTAAAAATTCAAATTCAAGAATCTCTTAAATAATACATCAAAGAGTTTTAAGAAACTACGTAGAGGTAATTTAGTATTATTATCACCTAGTGATTTTTATTACTTAGGTTTTGACTTCATTCATCCGTATCACTTCGCTTTTTTCATTCATCTAAAAGGATTAATATTGTTTTGAGTGGAAGTCTTTAATATATAGAAAAAAACAAATATTTCGGCATATAATTGTCAATTAATTAAGTTGGTATTCGATACTATACATTTATATTGAAAAATTGCGTTACATCAACATAATCGTAACACAAGTTTTAACTATGAAAGCATTATAATTCAATAGTTGTAAACACGAGTATAATTTCATATCACAAATTTAAATTGATATAACCTTAAACCTGGATTGTTTGGGAGGCTGTGTTTGGATTATAAAAATCTCTTAAACATAAACATAAAGAATAGTGCTACTATTTTCTAACTTGGTGTGTTTCCCGAAGAAGTATGTAATTGGTGAATATTGAGATGGGTGGGAAAAGCTTGACCTTGAGGCTTCAGCACATTTTTCAAACTCTACTTCGAAATAAGTAACCCAACTACTTCAATTCTTTTTTAATCATCATAAGGTCAGCATTTCATACTTAACAAGATTTGATTGTATTTATGTACTTATACATTCTGACAGGCATGCCGACACTTCAATTTCTGCTTCGACTCTTTCAAAGTTAGGCAAAAACTGGGTAGATACAATACAAGATACTTATGTCGAGTGCCTTAAATGTCAACTGCACCAGACTCTTTCACAGAACGAACATGTTGGCCCCAATCCCACCAAGAACTTGTCTGTTGGCAGGGCAACAAGCATTGAAGAATTTTCAATAGGAAATGCACAGAAGCTATGACTATTTTCCAAGTCTATTGAACCACCTATTTCAGGTCAAATGTCCAGGAGAGGCCAGAAGCAGAAAGAGTGAAAAACAAATGAGTCATGGAATCAGATTCCCCATGTAGCAAATCTTTGAGATTGTCCTGCATAAAAGAGACATTTAGCAATATGTAGGTATTGTCTCCCCAGAAATGTAATTCTACCTTTCCACTTTCCTTACCAACTATACATAGAAACTAAATGGAGAAAAAAGCGTCCCTAGACAAGGTAATGTTACAACACAACAGAGCCGTCGCTATAATCTGGACTACAATGGGGTAACGGGAAACGAAGAGTCACAATTGCTTACATTCTTTCCAATAGTTGCATGTCATCCAGGTTATGGCATGAAATATTGCTTTAATCATCTGAGCTATAGTCACTAGATTCTGGCAGCACATCAACAGCAGCACAGCAGAATGACTCTTTGTCTTTGAGGAGAAGACAACTTCCATTTGAGTTCCATTTCAGATCAGTTATGTTAAACTGTGGTAGCGGATTACTCACACAGTAGGCACCAGAGGGGGTCCACATATACAAGTGAGAGCTTCCAGTGCAAAGAACAAGACGCACGCATGTTGGGTCCCATACTGCTGCTCGAATAGGGTCCTTCTGCATCAAGATGGCAGCAAGTTCAAGACGACGTATGTCCCAAATCCAAAGAGCAGTTGGCATGCTATCATTACGAGTGCAAATATATTGACTATCGCTGCTCCATGACATAAGACCTGAAATTAAAATTAATTTCTTTAGTTGATCAAATGAAAAGAATTTAAAATTTTTGAAATTGATTGGCTCTGTTTTTATCAGTTTGTTAAGCAAGCACTGGAACCTTCAAGCTGAGTACCGAGTACAATACACAGTACACCAGCCTTACCTTCTAATTCAAAAGTTGATGCTATTGCCTTCAACAGGAACCAAATACTGCATTTATTCACATTTTATTTGTAAAAAGAGAAACAGGGCTCACCAATTCCTTGCTTAGGGTTTGGTTTGTCTACAGGAGGCTTCTGAAAAGGCAAAGTAATTGGTACTTCCATAACCTCGTACCTAACTCTGAAGTGTCCATCTGGAGCATCTTCTTGGAGGGAAAAAGAAAACCAATCAAATGATTGAAAACCAAAATTTACATATACAAACAGTTATAAAGGGGCATTACTGTGAAAGACCATACAGTGGCAGTATCAGTGAGAAGCAAATAATCTCACTTCACAATTATGAACTTCTTTCTTTTCTTTTTCCTTTTTTTATTTAATCTCATAAACTACATGAGAAATTTACCTAAGAAGAACTATAATATATTACATGAAATCAGGAACTGACTTTTGGATTCTTATTTGCCAAAACAAGATAAAGAGGCAGTGCCCTCAAATAATTCAAAATTTTACATCCACTAGACATCTTGCTTGCTTATGGAACTCATTAATAAAATAAGAATATTGCTTAGAATTTATAGAATGCAGCTAAGATCAAATCAATACTGCAAACATGAAAAACTTTCAAACAGACTAAAATAGCATATACAAGCGGAAAGTAAGAAGTTAAGAAGGTAAGTAGGAACAGGAGAGCTTCAAATTGATTTTCTAAATAAATCATTTTAGATATAGAGAAAGATGTGAGTGTAACTTGTTAATGAAACATTTGAAAATTGTGCTTACCAGAACTGCCTTGCATAAAATCATCACTCAAACATAATTCAGACATATCAAGCTGCAATGGTTCATCTACCTCCTGCCGGTTTAAGAAACAAGAGGTAAAATACACTTCTAACGAATTAAATCATCTTTTTCAATTCTGTCAACCTAGAACATGAAAACCAACTACCTTGAAAACAGCAGCAAAACAAGGAGCACGAACAGTTGATAGGTGAATAAATTCAGCAAATGTTTTCCAAGTCAAGTGACTCAATACCCGCAACATCTGGTCATAACTACCCACAGCCAGAAACTGGCCACACGGAGACCATGAAACACTTTTTACTCCAAGTCCACTTTCATATGCTTGATACTTAAATAGACACCTTCCATCCGGAGAGTAAATAAGAACCTGTACACAACACATTAGTTTTTCACGGTTCAGAAAAGTGTAGCCTGAAGAAAAACCATGCCACAAGAAAATTAACAGACATCCATGTCCTTTAACAGAAAAAACCAAAACTTAGATAATGAGGCGGGGTGGTAGTGGTCTAGTGGACATGCAGTTAGTCATTAACATATATGCCAGACCCTTTTTTCAGGCTTATTCTCTTCATATAAAATCTGTAGACATTCTTTTTGGTGATCATTGTTTGATGCTACAATCAAGAATAGCATGGGCCACGGAATCAACAGTCTCAAATGAAAAATCCCCATTTTACACATTCAAGGTCTTGTCAATGTTCATCATCTTCATATATGAATACAAATGTTGGAACACATGATGCTCTCTAGGTACATAGAGAGCAGGTTTCATTTACTAAGAAATTCAAAGGTGCATAGGTTGGAACCTAGAAGTTTACATGGAAAAAAAGAGGCCAATCAGAATCGTCTCACATATTTGTATATTATTATCATTGAGAAAGTATATAAATTGAAAGATGTAGTAGTTACTAGTTTTAAAGCAATGAAAAGCGCAGCGTTAACTACCTTATATTCCATAGGTGAATCCCACATCACGATGGAGCTATCATCAGGCGACCATTCAATATCAGCCAAATCCAATGTATCAACAGCAAAAACACCCATTATCTCCCAAGAATGGCATGAGAGCAGATTTATATAGTCCTTGCAATCACGTCTAGTACAAATGGCAGCAAATTTCCCATCTTGGGTGAAAGAGACCCCCTTGGAAGCATGCTTGGGCCATTGCACATGAACACACGCTGTGTTCAGTAGAGACCAAACTGTTAATCGCAGCTGAAAATCTGATGTAGTAAGTATGTGACGGCTATCTGGACTCCACCGAGCATAAGCAATGCCAGCAGGCCCTTCATCTATTTTGCATGTCCATTCAGGTTGGGTCAGTGACCATGCCTGTATCATTGGTCTTTTATAAAGACCACAAAGAATGTATTCAGAATCAAGTGCCCATTCGATATAGCTTATCTTATCCAAGCATGAAAACAACTGCACAACCTGCATCATAAAGATAAAATACATTAAAGCTTCCCTCTGAAGACCATGCTTCCTTGACCAGCACCAAGTAATAACCTTATATATAAATCAGTGCAAATTTCCATTCATCTTAGCCTACTAAAAGACTAAATATATTGATAAACCCTACTCACATAAAGATTACTGATAGATTTTATTAAAAAAAAAAAAGTGTGTTAAACGAGGTTCCTGAAAAATTCTGATACACGGGTTTTTCTTTTTGCTTATATTTCAGGCAAAATCAGGCGATGTCAATAAAATTTTCCCTATAAACTAATAAATTGACTACAAATCAGAAGCAAGAATATGATTTTAAATTTTTAATCTCACCATTTTAACTCAATGAAGGAATTTAATTATATATTTGAATCAGTCCCAAAAAGTTTGGATTTTACTTATTGTACCTGAGTTATATCATAATGTTAAAAAACTCAGCCGAATGAAGCCGGCATTATAAATCATTGTGAAATAAGCTCAGGATCTAATTAAGTTGCAACAATTACCAGAACGAGATCATTACCAATTTTAAGTCTTACATTACACAACAGATTTACAAATTACAACCCAATTAAAAAAAAAAAAAAAAAAAAATACCTTGAACGAGTGAGTGTCCCGGATGACGAGACGATAATCGACAGCCACAGCTATGTAACGTGAGTTAGGTGAAAAACAACACGGCCCGGTCTGTTTATAAGCTTCAGTGAACTCCATTTACAGCCACGACAGAAACAATAAACCAAAAACAGTCATAGAATTTGCAAATTCATGTCGCCAATGGTGCCCTATTAGCCCCGAGATCATGAAAGAAGAATGTGAAGCAGTAGATGCTTAGATCTGTCACGGTACTTGTTGAAGGTGAGTGCGGTTGAGACTTGAGAGTCGAGCGAGTTTCAAATTTTTGAAAGTGGATAGTGAAGTGAAGATCGAAATTCCAGAAAGACACCAACTGAAAACGAAATATAAAAATCGTTTAACGGTGTTTTTTCTATCATAGACTGCGTATGTGGGCCGGTTCGGGTTTTGCGGTTCTGATTAATTGGACATTACTTCTAGGCCCTAATTTGCCCGAACCCGCAATAGCAATAACGCTGGAAAATATATTTATTTAATTTAATAATAAATAATATAAAGTAGCAAGATTGAAAGATTATACAAAAGAACAATAAAAGAATTTGCTAGAAATTAGATGGAAGAAGAGGCTTTAATCACTGGTGAAAAAAATTTACTTCTTAACAATTGAAGGAATAAGAAAATAAAATAAATTTTTTATTAAAACTTAAAATAAAATAATTTTTTTATTAAAACTTAAAATAAAACAAATAAATTTTTTTACTGAAACTCTTACCAGGCCCGAAAAAATCAAGGGTATTCAACTTTCAATATCAATTTTGATTATAAAAAGGGTCAAAACTCAAAAGCACGATGGCTTTAGGTTTGTTTTAAGGGACAATAACAATTTATCGCTCAAGTTTGGCAAGTAACTTTTAGTTTGATAGAATTTTTTTAGTAATGTTCTGATTTTTTTTAATGATATTTTATTCATTATTGTTGATGCTTGATTTTGACACCAACTATTCACACGTGAGAAATACTAAGCGAACTTAGAAGTCACACGTGATATGAGAATATTTAGTTAAATAAAGAGTGAGAAGCAATGTTTAAAGTTGTTCGGATGCTCAAAAGCGAATTCTACGTCTACTGTATTGTATTAATGAATAAGGTCAGGTCGCATTAAGCAAGCTGAGTTACGGCTTAGAGAATACAAGGGGGAGAGAGAGAGAGTAAGCTATTCTAGAGTGAAATTAGCTAATCCCGCAAATAAATAGAGAAGGCCTCTATTTATAGTGGGATAAACCAAGGTAATGATTATTAATTCTGCAAGTGAGTGAATATCGTGCAAATCTTTCTCTGCGTCCCATTGCTCACTTGCCCGAGTGATTTTCTCGACTTATGCAGGGATTGGACACGTGGACAATTTCCAACCATTCGCTAACCTGGCACGCACCCACTACACCAACAGGGGCATGCCACTTACGTCATTATGAATCGTGGGTGCGTGTGAACAGTCGCAAAATCTTTCCCAAGTTCTGAGCATCCCATGCTACAAGACTCCGCGTCAACCCTACTTTTTCAGGCATAACAGAAGTCCCCTAGTTTTTAAGGTTTGAGAATCGAACCTTGAGAACTTCACAATTATGCCTTGATTTAATATGTCCCGAATGACGCTTGGTCGATCCGACCTGGCTACAATGAGGTCGCAAAACATTTTCCTACAAACGACTTGATATGGTCCCCTTCCATAAGACTGATGACCTGGATCAAACCCTATTCAGTGCTGTATCGATGCGCTTTTTATCTTAACCAAGGTCCGCGACCTAGTTATACTTAGCATATTCTGCTGAAGGAATCACATCGCTCCTCAATTGACATGCGACGAAGAGTGTTCTGTCCCAACGACCTCTTCAGATGTTATCCATTGCGCTTGACAGCTAATCCATTAATGAGGTGTCCTTTATTCTGACAAATGTGTCCTGTACGGAATAAATGCCAGCCATGCGCATTAAATACAAGTCATGCTGAAACGACATTCCTTATCAGGGCATTAAATGCAGATGGGAGTGCATTTAATGTGGAGGAGAGAATCGAGTCGTCGCTCGATTATTTCAACAGAGCGATGTGATGATTGAATTTCTTGAAGCGTGGCGGTTACTCTTTCTTGCTGATTCGTGACACGTGGTCGCGATCAACGGCCAGAGATGCATTCTGTCCAAATGTCGCTCAGCTTCGGAAATCCTAATTGCCATTTCTCCCACTATAAAACCCCAGGCTCCCTTTAAGCAATGTCACAACACTTACATTTTCAAAAAAAAGCAAGAAGCTCTCACGAGACCAGACTTCCAATTTTTTAAGTTGGTGTGCATCTTTTGTTTACAGGGAGAAGTTCGACCCCAATAGCCAAAAGAAAAAGGTAAGGAAGGTCGTTCCATTGCTTTTATTTTTTCTGTTTCGAGTGTAGTTAACCAGTCGATAATGGCGGGTTTCTGTAAGGAATAGGTTTTTAGGATCCAAGCCATTGGGGGTGGTCCCCAAGGGTTTTACTCTTCCAAGTCGTCGTACAAAAATTTTGTACGAAGACTGAGTAATCTCCACATGTCCCCCTTTTTTAGACTGTAGACGATATGGACCTTACAGCGACCAGATCAGATGAGGGGACAAGCTTGTAGATGTAGGACACCCTAGTGGGTCTTGTGCAAGAGATTCTATCGGTAGCTACTTGAGACGAAGTACAGAAGGCAGTAGACCAATACGCAATTAGTGTGGACGTCTACCGTTACCAGAAGCATACATCTCAGAATCCGCTAGAGGGAATGGTTGTGATCTCTAAAGCTATATTCAAGTGTGAAGCACTGATTCCCTTCCATCCCTTTATCAGGTCGATCCTTGATCACTTCGGGGTCGCACCTTTACAACTGAAGTCTAACGTGTATATAATAGTCGTGGCTATGTATATCATGTATGCCGAGTACGGCCTCGACCAACTGACTACGCTAGAGCTCGCCTACACGTACTATCTAAAAAAGAGCAAGGACAAAAACTCTTACTACCTCTCGAGGCGACCCACAATCAAGGGAGGCATTCACAATTACCCCAGAAATGTTTGGGCATACGAGACCAAGTTTTTCTTTTTTCATTATAATGGCTTCTGCCACTTTAGAGAGCCGAATAGGTTTTCCCTTGATTATACTTGGTGAATTTTTCCTTTCTTTTTGGCTTTGCTTTCTAACGATCTCTCTTGTCTCTTCGTAGGGAACAAGTCAACCAGGTTGACAAACCTTTCTGACCTCAGCTGAATAGTTTCATTCAGTATCCTGCCAGATTACTGTCGCGATGTAAAACGACTAGTGACAACCACGAACTTGAGGAAGTACTGCTTCTTCAACTTTAAAGCGACATTGGAACCCCTATTTCATAAGTGTCCGCAATCCCTTTAGATTTTACCTCTGCGTGCAACGAACCTTTAACTAACAGTACCTATATGCAGCGAACATGCCGCCCAAAGTGCTAAAATTGTTGAGGGAGAGAGTGTTCGTTTTTCCTCGGATCGGCGCCATAGGACCAGCCAAGATGAGCCCCAACGACATCTCCGCTGAAGGAACGCAGCCACCCACCGAACAACCAGCCGAAACTGCCCAACCCTCGGCTGCTCGCCCAAAGCAAAAAACCATGGGCCAGAAGGCCAAGAAAAGAAAGGTGATGTAGCCCAAAGAGTCAGAGTCTAAGCCGGAGGTCTTGCGGGTACAGCCTGAAAGGTCGTAGCCTTATCAAGCCCTTCACGCTAGAGGGAGCTCGAGGCGCACGACCGGGGTTACAATTCTCCCGAGCTATTCGCGCAGAGGACAGATCGTAGCCTTTGGGAGGAAAGAAGGCAAGGGGTCGGTTGGCGAGGTACCCTCGGCTACAGAAGTTGACACCCCAGTGTTGGACTCCATCGGTCAGCTTCCGGAGTACCTTCAATCGGTGGTGTTCACCCTTTTGGAGTGCCAGCTTGCCAAAGTTTTTGACGAGCTCGTGGCCTCCAACCCTGCAGACCTGATGATCAGGGTGGTCCAACTGCAAAATCAGGTAAAACGGTTTATCCTCGTCGAGGACTTTCCAATACTTACTCTTTTTCAAGGGAGCAACCTAACACTTGCTTATTACTTGCGTAGTCTTTGCTCGCCTTCACCTGGCTCAACAGAAGACCCAACTGGAAGATGCTGGGGGACTCTCCGAGCTGAGGGGAGAGAATGCGCAACTAAAGCAGGATTTGGCAGCTGCGAAAGAAGGGTTGGACCTGAACATCATCCAGACAAATCAATACATGTCGGAGAGGAACTCTACCTTCAATACGGTAGAGTTCCAGAAAATCAAACTGGAAAAGAGGGGGGAAGAGCTCAAACAGCTTCAAAGGACAGTGGCCAAGCTCACTAAGGAGGCTGGCGAGAAAGAAGCGGAGCTACGAGCAAGCTCTAAGCGAGCCTTGCGGGCGAAGGAAGAGAGAGCTTGGTTGTGGGAGACTTTCGAGAAGCAAAAGAAAGCTCTTGAAGCGGACCTGGAAATGTCCCAAGGGCGAGTCGCTCCTTTAATTGAAGAGATGAAGCGACAAGAGTTGGAGATCAAGAGAAAAGCTGCTGACTGGTCGATCCAATCAATTTATGCCCTCAGGCCAAAGAACCCAACCATAGACCTTACCGACCTCCTAGATGATTACCAGAGGATCCTTGCCTCTATGGCGTAAGCCGATGATGAGGCAGATCAAATACTTTATCCGAAAGACAATCATCTAGAGGGACATGTTTCGGAGGACCTAACAGCTGACCAGGAGGTTGGCGACCAGCCTAGGGATACCGAGGTTGCACCGGAAGGGCCTAGGGACGAAGACTAATGATCGCTTCTGCCTCTACTTTTCCCACAACTTTGCTTATCTGTCTTTGCATAGTCCTCTACGCTAAATGATTAATGAATGAATTTGACCACTTTTCAAATTATTTGTGAGTACTTATAATTTTTTGCACTTCACAAACATTACACAAAACATTACGCATGCGAGTAGGAGGACGCGCACCAACTATTTGCGATATTAAATTATTTGTGAGTACTTATAATTTTTCGCACCTCACAAACATTACACATGTGAACAGAAAAATAAGAATGATGCAAATAAGAAATTCACATTTATACAAGATGAATTTTACTTGACAGCGATCTTAATTACAAAAGCTTTACAAGAGAATCTTTACAAAGAAAAAGCGAGCTCGGAATTACTAATAATAAGGGCGAAGATGTTCAGCATTCCAAGCTTGCGGTACTTCTGAACTGTTGAGTCTTTTGAGGTGATAAGTCCTCGGGCGTATCACCTTAGCGACGCGGTAGGGGTCTTCCCAGTTTGGTCCCAATACTCCCGCTCTTGGTT